TGGCCAGAGAAGGTGGGCATTTCTCGCTTTTCCTCCCCTGCTCTCCCTTCCCCGCTCCCATTCCTTCCCCTCCCGTCTGCCCCGCACCCCACGTGAAGCGGAATGTAAAGGGGGGTGTGAGACTAGCGGGGAAAGTGAATGGCGGAGGACTGAAGGGGTCCCCCCTTCTGCTCCTCGGTCGCCCTGTTCACCCTCGTTCATCCTCCCTTCCTGAAGCTCGCCCTCGAAGGCAGCAGCAGCCGGCGCCTTAGGCTGAAGAGGAGGACTCGCGCCGGGCGGAGCGTCAGATTCAGTTTTCCTCTCCGGCGTCTCGAATACAAAGATTACGGTGCAGAAGGAAATTGCACTCGCCTCCTCCTCCTCCCGGTACCCAACACAATGCACCAGCCGCCTGAGTCCACCGCCGCGGCGGCCGCCGCCGCCGCTGCAGACATTAGTGTTAGGAAGATGGCGCACCCGACTATGTTCCCTCGAAGGGGCAGCGGTAGTGGCAGCGCCTCGGCTCTCAGTGCAGCAGGTACCGGTGTTGGTAGTGCTCCCACATCTGAAGATTTTCTGCCTCCGTCTCTGCTCCAGCCGGCGTCGTCTGCAGCATCTTCCACGACCGGACCACAGCCTCCACCTCCACAAAGCCTGAACCTCCTTTCGCAGGCTCAGCTGCAGGCACAGCCCCTTGCACCAGGCGGAACTCAGATGAAAAAGAAAAGTGGCTTCCAGATAACTAGTGTTACTCCAGCTCAGATATCTGCCAGTATCAGCTCTAACAATAGTATAGCAGAGGACACCGAGAGCTATGATGATCTGGATGAATCTCACACAGAAGATCTCTCTTCTTCTGAGATCCTTGATGTGTCACTATCCAGGGCTACTGACCTAGGGGAGCCTGAGCGCAGCTCCTCAGAGGAGACTCTGAATAACTTCCAGGAAGCAGAGACGCCTGGGGCAGTTTCTCCCAACCAGCCTCACCTTCCTCAACCCCATTTGCCTCACCTTCCACAACAGAATGTTGTGATCAATGGGAATGCTCATCCACACCACCTGCATCATCACCATCATATCCATCATGGGCACCACCTTCACCATGGGCACCACCATCCATCCCATGCTGCTGTGGCTAGTGCCTCCATTCCTGGAGTGCCACCTGCAAGCCCAGTATCCAGAAAACTGTCTACATCTGGAAGCTCTGAGGGTGTTATGCCAGTGACACCAACTTCTGCTGTATCATTGAGTGGCTCACCTGCATCTGTAATGACTAATATCCGGGCTGCAAGTACTACAGGCAGTGTAGGTATAAATTCTGGTACTGGCACTAGTACAATAAATAATGTTAATGTTGCTTCTGTGGGTAGTTTCAGTCCTAATGTGACAACCAGCATGCTTAGTAATGCTAACATAAATACAAGCAATATTCCTAGTGCTGCTACTGTAAGTGTTGGGCCTGGAGCTACCAGTATTGTTAATATGAATATCTTGAGTGGTATGGGCAATGGTACTGTTTCTTCTGTTAACAGTGTCCCTAATGCAGCTGCAGGGACGAATGTGGGATTGGTTTCAAGTCAGCAACAACCAACAGTTAGCACATCAAGGTTCAGAGTTGTGAAGTTAGATTCTACTTCTGAACCCTTTAAAAAAGGTAGATGGACTTGCACTGAGTTCTATGAAAAAGAAAATGCTGTATCTGCTACAGAAGGTGTGGTGACAAATAAAGTGGTGGAGACTGTAAAACAAAATCCGACAGAAGTGACTTCTGAGAGAGAGAGCACTAGTGGGAGTTCAGTGAGCAGCAGTGTCAGCACACTGAGTCACTACACAGAGAGTGTGGGAAGTGGAGAGATGGGAGTCCCCACTGTGGTGCAGCAGCAGCCACCAGCTCTTCAAGGTGTGGCCCTTCAACAGATGGATTTCAGTAGCAGTGGTCCACAGAGTATTTTAACAGTTAGTATACCACAGAGTATTTCTCAGTCACAGATGTCACAAGTACATGTACAGTCTCAAGAACTAGGATATCAGCAAAAACAAGGTCTTCAACCAGTACCTCTGCAAGCCACTGTAAATGCTGCAACTGGTATCCAGCCATCACCTATAAATGTAGTTGGTGTAACTTCAGCTTTAGGTCAGCAGCCTTCCATTGCTAGTTTGGCCCAACCCCAACTGCCATATTCACAGACAGCTCCTCCAGTGCAAGCTCCCCTTCCAGGGGCACCACCCCAGCAGTTACAATATGGACAACAGCAACCAATGGTTTCTACACAATTGGCCCCAGGCCATGGTCAATCAGTGACTCAAAATCCTACTTCAGAGTATGTACAGCAGCAGTCACTTCTGCAAACAGCAATGTCCTCTGGGCATTCCAGTTCTGCAGGAGTGGGAACAGGAACAGCGGTGATTCCTGTGGCTCAGCCACAGGGGATCCAGCTACCAGCGCAGTCCACAGCAGTTCAACCACAACCTGCAGGAACATCTGGCCACCTTGTTGGCCAGGCTCAAACAGCAGTGTCTGCTGCACCTATTGGTCAAATTGCAACTATTGGTCAACAGGCAAACATACCTACTGCAGTGCAGCAGTCTTCTACTCAAGCTACACCTTCAGTTATTCAGCAAGGTGCTCCTCCATCTTCACAAGTAGTTCCACCTGCTCAAACTGGGATTATTCATCAGGGAGTTCAAACTAGCACTTCAAGCCTTCCTCCACAGTTGGTTATTGCACCCCAGAGTACCTTGTTAACTGTGCCTCCCCAGCCACAAGGAGTAGAACCAGTAGTTCAAGGAGTTGTTTCGCAGCAGTTGCCCACAGTTAGTCCTTTACCCTCTGCTAGTAGTATTCCTGTTACAAACCAGGTTAGTTCAACTGGTCCTTCTGGAATGCCTTCTGCCCCAACAAACTTGGTTCCACCACAGAATATAGCACAACCCCCTGCCACTCAAAATGGTAATTTGATTCAAAGTGTTAGTCAACCTCCCTTGATAGCAACTAATATAAATTTGCCATTGGCACAACAGTTACCACTAAGTTCTGCTCAGTTCTCTGCACAATCATTAGCTCAGGCAATTGGAAGCCAAATTGACGATGCCAGGCGCACAGTGGAACCCTCCTTAGTTGGCTTACCTCAGACTACCAGTGGTGACAGTGGGGGAATGTCAGCAGTTTCAGATGGGAGTAGCAGCAGCCTAGCAGCCTCTGCTTCTCTTTTCCCGTTGAAGGTGCTACCGCTGACAACACCCTTGGTGGATGGCGAGGATGAGAGGTAAGATCATGGCATATTTCTGCAGGCATTCAGAGTTGAAATTAATCTATTCATTAGCAATATTGCACAAAATTATGAGTAAATGTTACATACTGTTTTGTGAGTTCATGCATATTCATGGTAAGTTTTTTAGATGAAAAGTTAAGGCATTTCTGAGTGGGTAGGAAGTAGTGTAATATATAAATGTCAAATTATTGAACTTATACTAATATTAAAATTTGGTTTGGGGTCAGCAAGTTTTTGTTTATAAAATGCTTTTTAAAAGATTAGTTATGAAAAGAAGCTTAAATTTTGCTAATCCGCAAAATAGTTAATCTATTCTCTTGAGTTACTAAAATCCTTGTGAAGAACTCTTTGGAGGGCTGCAGTTCACACATATGTTCTCCTTTATAGATAATTATTTTTCAGTTACTATATAATTTCATCTTAAGCTGTGAAAGATATGGTTACCTGATTTTCCTAGTCAAGCACTAGGAAAGATGACCTAATCTGGGCTCTTATAGGTTGACCTTATAATGTATTTCAGCTTTTGTAGTCTTAATTTAATGTTTACTTTATCTGAACCAAAAAGGAATGGCACTCTTTAAAACATTTTGGGTGGTGAGGGATGAGGCATACACTGTCAAAATAACTAGATTTGTCTTTGATAGTATGCTGTGTTTTTTCTTTTGCATAGTACAGCAAGGTGGTAGCCATTTTAAGGGTGAAGAAAGCCTTGGGAGTGTTGAATTTATACAAGCATGAAAATAAGATTGTCTGCTAATCTCCACCTGTTCACTCCCCTCCCCCCAAAAGCATATATAGCCTGAAATACATTATTACACCAGCATTTTTTCAGATTGGAAGTGATGAACTAATCACTCTTATTGACTCAAATTGCATCTTTGAAGCTGACTGGCTAGAAAAGTTGTGAAATTTTATATTTCTACATAGCTTTAGGACTTAGGTGATTTATATTTTTTAAAGGAACATTCTTTTCACAAATCTGTCAGTCTGGCTAACCTTGATAAAATATAGGAGTTAATGAAAAGACTATTCATTTTCACTGGAATTTTGAGTAAGCGTGCAAGATATTTAATTATTTTAGTATTAGCTGAAGATTTTTGGGCTTGAACTTCACTCAAACCAGTTGAAGTATTTATGTCCAATACATCTGTTTGTGGTTTTTACTTTGGAAAAACAGTTTACTGCAGAAAAATTTTAATTTTAGAAAAAAAAAGGTTAAATGTTTTAGTGTAGTTTTTTTTTAAGTTAAAATTAAAAGGCATGGTTAATTGAAACAAGTTAAATTTTTGTCTTTCAAGTTTTTGATTATATTTCCAGTGGGCATATAGTTAAAATCTTGCTACTGACTAAATGTATTCTGTGTATTTTTACAAAATTGTACTTTTAAAGATAGACTTTTCTTAAGAGGTAGCTTCCTTAATAATTCCATTATAACTGTTGTTTGGCTTTTAACTTTGTACTCACCTGTAATTTTAAAGAATTATTTTAGTTTTTCATGTTTTCTAAATAAAGGGTGTGATCTCAATGAAGCATGTATAAAAACAAGTATATAGGTGCTAAATTTAGAGAAATAAAAGACAAGAGTGACAATCAAGTGAAACCTACACACTGAATGAAAACCTTCCTTGATATTGTTAATTATCATTTGTGGTCTCTTGGTACACCTTTTTCTTGTTTTCCTTCTCTTGATATAGAGAGTGTGGTAGGGCTTTCCAAATCTAGGTGTTTCACACAGTTAAAAGTCAGAATTCTACTAAAAACTAGGGTTTTTAATTGTAGGGCTGGATTCCTAGTTAAAGATATTAACAAAAAATTATTTTCCAGATAGTAATTGAGCTAAAGAATAATTAGGGGGAAATTATGTAGAAAGGTTTGAAATTTTAGAAAGAGACTAGAAATATGATTAAATATTGATGTAAAGTAACTTGTCTTCAGAATGTACTTGTTTTGAATTTATGAATTGGAACCTTCATTGACATCGAGTTGAATAATCAAAACCAGAAAAATTTTGAGTGGTATCCTTCAAATTCTTTAAAAATCAAACTATTTCACCCCTAAAAGGGCAGAAAATATATTTGTATATATTTTGGAAAAATATAAGTTAAAAAAAATATATAAAATATATATTAAAGTTGCCCTTGGGAGAAGACCAGAAAAAAAAAGTGATACAATCTTTAAATATGTATTTATTTTTACTTTTCTTTCTTCGTTAGCTTCTGTGTCACTTGACTACTTCTAGGCCTGGTCACCATTAGTCTCTTAGTGGAGAATGGGTACATTATCATTTCAATGTTTGATACAGGAAGTATGTTTACTGTAAATTTTTGGTGGTAGAATGAATGAAAGTGGTTATTTAATCATCTTTTGTCAGTGTTTTAGGACTTTAGGTTTTATAATGTTTACGAGACACAAAAAGTTTGCAATTGGCTGTTACAAACTGTAAAGATTAGAAACATGGCTCAAGGCATTAAGGTTGTATATCTTTCAAAAAATCATTCTTATTAAAATGGCTTGATTTAGTCTTCAATATGAACTTACTTTACAAAATTGGGAAGATTAGTTATTTTACTCCAAAAAAGCAATATTTTGTTTTGTGATTGTTAGTACAGTTTGATGTGAAATTATTGAACTTCTATTCATCCTTCAAGACTGACTCAGCTCAGATGTTTCCTCTACAGGATTTTCTTTCCCTAGGGGATATTTCCTATCCTTTCTTAATGTTCCTCTGCTTTAGTGCTGCTTAATAACATTATATTTGATTATAATTATGTTTACTAGTCTTTCCCGCAAGACTAGGAATTCTTCAAGGGAAGGGGCTAAATTTTTTTTAACAAATTAATGAGCAGATCTTTCTCTGCTTTTTCTCTGGGTGTAAAGTGTATGTTGTTTCTCATCTTAACACTACTGTTAGAGATGTAGGATAGTATAATTTATGCAGTGGATTGAGAAGAAATCAATAAAATGACTTCCTCTTCATTGTTCCTTGAGGCAAATTGATGACTATATTCCAAATACAGTGCGTGTTTTATATAGTAGGTCCTCAAATATTTATCAAAAAGGAATGGATATTTTTAACATGTAAAATAGGAGTAATCCTTTCGCCTACTTCCAAAGGTGGTAGGATCAGTTAGAACGCTTTTTATCTATAAAATGCCAAGTTGTAAGTTTTAAAAGTATTTTTTTATTTGAAATGTACATACAATTTAAAGAGCTAATAGTTTACATGGTTATCTTAAATAACTGAATATATAAGCTGCTCTCTCCTAGATTTTCTTTCCTGGAAGCGCTTTCACCTCTTTCAGATGATTATTCTGATCCTTGTATTTTAACATGCTTAAGTTGCTCCGAGATCTGTAACATAGCTTAGTGGTTAGGAGCACAGACTCTGGATTAGATTGCTTAGGTTTTATCTTTCCTCTGTCATCGGCTAGTTTTATTAACTTTGGGCTATTTAACCCTTCTGTGCCTCAGTTTTCCCATTTTAAAAGCTGGGAATAACAGTATGTGTCAAAGTTGTTAGCATTAAATTAATTTGGTATACCCTTAGAATTTTGTCTAATTCATTATGCCCTAAATAAGTGTTTGTTAAATAAAATAATTCCTTGTTTTGTTTTTCGGCTTCATTAACTTTGTTTTTTTTTTTTTTTTTTTT